GGTCAGTACTGAATCTTAACCTCACTCTTTAGTAATCTTAAATTCAAAGTTTCAGAACAATACGTGCAGTGTTCTCACTACAGTGAATTTTTAAACGGCAGTCACCCAGGAAAACGTCGATGCTGTGCGCAAACTGATCATTGAAGATAGACATGTGACATATCGCGAGATTGAGGCATCCTTGAAGATCTCAAAGACCTCAATTCAAAAACTTTTACATGAAGAATTAGGAGTAAGAAAATTATTTTCTCGTTGGATACCCCACCTGTTGACTGAAGAGCAGAAAGCAGCCAGGGTTAGTTGGTGTCAAAAACGCTTGACCGTTTCAATCCCGAAAACTCAAAAAATGTGTACAGCATTGTTAGTGGTGATGAATCGTTGATTTACTGTTATGAACCAGAAAATAAACGACAGTCGGCTGTTTGGAAGTTCCAAGGTGAAGAAAAGCCAAAAAAAGTCATCCGTTCTCGAACTGTTTCGAAAAAGATGGTCGCGACATTTGTGTCAAAAGCAACAATTCCTCTTAGTGAGCAAAGAACTGTTACTGTGGATTGGTATACCACCATTTTTTCGCCAAAAGTCATCACCGAGCTTCGAAAGATCAACCCCGAAAGAAGAATCATCCTCCACCAAGACAATGCAAGCTCGCACACAGCCCAAAAAAGCAAGGCAGTATTTAACGGAAGAAAACGTGGAATTATTAGACCATCCTCCATTTAGTCCTCATCTAAGTCCTAACGATTTCTTTACTTTCCCGAAAATTAAAAACAGACTGCGTCGTCAAAGGTTCCAGTCACCAGAAGAAGCAGTTGACGCATTCAAAAATGCCGTTTTGGATCTGCCAGCAAACGACTGGAATAAGTGCTTCGAAAATTGGTTTTAATTCCATATGCAAAACTTAAAAGACATCCCTCGTATATATGACACAAATTTTCGAACCGAATTGAGCTGAAATTTTGTGCAGCCGGTGTCTGACTGATCAACGATCCCTCTTTAACCGGACAGTCTCGGTTTCGTACCGTCAGAGATCTAGTATGCTGTCATAAACCAGAACGCAGTAGTGCAAAAAATGCGAAAAATGAGATATTGTCATTATGATATGAAAGCCACGTAGAAGAAGCATATTTTGATGATAAATACCGAAAATAAAAAATTTATCGCTTACAGTATCCAGCATTTTTACGATCATCTCAAATGATAGGCAGCAGCGGTGGCCGCAGTAGTAGACTCTTCGGTCTCCTGATCAGTCGCCGTGCGCTGTGCGGGTTCGAGTCCCGTCCCAGGAGAAATTTTTCTCTTGGCTATGGATGTTGTGATTGTCCGTAGGTGGTAGACGGTCTCTGACTGTCGAACGTGGAGGTACCACCCGGCGGATCTCGTAGGCGGAGCCAGAATGTGTGCATGTTGCATGCACACGTGTTCCCTCGCCAGAGTCCGTGTGGCGTTCCCCTTTCCCCTGTATCCCCCTATAGCCCCACGGTACCCAATGGGTGTTTAGGCCTAAGGCCTTCGTGGTAGATGGAGTATAAAAAAAAAAAAAAATCAGAATACAGTATCTGCACAACAACAAATTGAAACATCGTATATATACAGATTCTGTGTTTCAATTTATAGCCAAAGCAATGGCTCTAGCAGATACTATAAGACATAGTAAAGTTGTAAGGATATTGTACAAAATTATGTTTGTTTGTTTGTTTAAGATTTATTAACCATGATTGCTACAATAACATTCTTTTGAAACAACAATCACATCACATACAAATAGTCAGAAAAACAAAACTTGCATCTCTAAGAATTTCCACTATCCATGAAATGTTCCTTTAATTTTTATTTAAACATCTTTAAATTACAGGTAGACTTTATATCATCATTTAGCTTATTAAATTCTAGTAATCGTTTCTGAAATATTGATTTGTTAACTATATTACTATTGCAATTTTGTAATTGGAAATTTATAGTTCCTCTTGTATAATAATTGTGGTAATGAATATTCATTTTAATGAAATGTTCTAAATGTTGTGAGAAAAGATGATTTTTATGTTATATATGAAAATAAGAACCAAATATGACAAATTGGAATTGTACTTACTGTGTTATTAATTAAAAGACAGAAGTTCAGTCATTTCTGAGGTAACAATGCTTTTTTATTTATAGATAGGCATCCTTGGTAAAATTTATGAATTCGTTAAAAAATATGCCGCCGCGCGGTGTGCCTGCCAGACAGACTCGCCTGACTTAAACCTTCTATCTTAACCGCGGCGAACTTCATACATCTAGAACTGGCAGATACGAGAGCTCCTTTGCCCTAGGATATCGAGATTATGGAACAACCCACATCAGGCGGCTTTTTCGAGTTATATTAACTTTAGGCAGTTCAAAACTCAGGTTAACTAAGCTTCTATGAACTCCTCATAGCATCTGCGGTGTCCTGGCATTTAGACTTTTGCCTGCGCGGCTGCTTCGGTGTAAAGAATTACAAAAAGTACTAAGTACAGCCATTTAGCGAATGTTACAATGCCGATTCATCATTTCCATAGTACTCCAAATGAAAGGGCTCGATGAGAGAAACATAATGAGCAAAGTGACGTTATTCTGACTCCAAAATGACGATCAATATTTTTCGCAATCACCTCTCTAATATGAGTATCAAATAAACGGGTCTGATGAGAGAAATACATTAAGCAAAGTGACGTCATGACAAGTCCAATATGGCAGTAGCTGCGAAATGGCGATCAGTCTTTGACTGTGAATGTTTTACAGACAAAAAGTACAAATAGAAACGACAATTCTTTCTCAAACTTGTTATAGGAAAGAAATGTTTTTTTCTGTAAAAACTAGATACTTATTAGCTTTTCATCTGAATTAGGGGGATACCAAACTTCAAGAATAAAAGCTTCGTAGATATCTCTCCTTCAAGCATGTTCTGATTTGATGTACACAGAAGAAAAGCTGAATATCCGCATTCGTATTCATGAATATAGTCGCTAGATATTCGCCAAAGCCTAGAAATTGACGTTCGTTACGTCTCCACGTTATAACCCCGCCTCTGTGACCGGCGATGTGACCTGTGGTGTCCAGTCCGAGTGCAGCGTTAATGCTCTAAGCTCTAAGACGAAGGATTACATCGATCAGTAACTGAGATACCATGGAATCCACTTGAAATTGGAACTGAAGGAGTCGGTATCAGGGAGCTAGGATATAATCTTTTTGTGCCGGTTTTGTTTTGAGTGCGATTCGCTTTTCAAATGTTGCTATTTGGACCGAAAAAGTCTTTGTTAAGTGGGAGCGAACATGTTTTTATACACGCCTTTTAGTCTAATAACTATTACTATTTCATTTTTGTCAGGTCAGTCTCCAAGTTACGTTTGAATATTGATATGGACGAAAAGCTGTTGGATGCCCAATTGATATGACTATCATTATAATTATGATCTAAAGACGTATCTCTCAAATGTAGTTTGTACCTTTTTGATTGAGTGAACTACATTATTTTAAATATACGTATAGGGTGTGCTAGAAGTCGACGTATAGCTGCGAACGGGAGATACTTAAAAAATCTTAAGTCGTGTACTTTCAGATTATAGGCTCAAAATATCGAAAAGCAAGTAGCATATTGAAGCTTTGTAATGCTTTTGAAGCGCTATGATATATTCTGATGCATGTACAAATTGTTAATTACGTTACCATCACAACGAATTTGCTCTGCCACTTCTATACCTTAACTCCTACTGCATGATTTTTTTTGTTTTTGTTAAAATAAATATATGTGCTAGTTCATATTAGAAAAGTAACTAGAAAAATATATAAAAAATTATTGATGCTTTTTTTTAAAAAAATAGCCTTTTTCGACATGTGCCAAATTTGACACAAATTGCAATAGTTGAATAATAACGGAAAAATTTACTGAAACCATATATGTTATAAATCGTTAAAAATACATGGGAAAACACCTAAACTAAATGTAATTTTGAATAAACATTTATTTACTCCAGATGAAAACGGCGAAAACAATTACGGTCTTTCTTCAAATATAATCTAACATTACATTTATCACACAAAACTTGTGTTTTCCTCTTACACTCAGGAAATTTGCATCTTTGGCGATCTTCATGCCACTCAGGAAGATGTCCCACATTGTCGCGACGAATTTCTTGGGCTGGTATTTCCGCAAAAGGATATATCCTTTTTTTAAATTCAGTTGAGGCTGTAGTGAGCTATTAGGTCTGCCTCGCTTTTTTGAAGTTACGTGGGATCTTGTTAGAATTTCTGCTAAACCAAGTTTTAATTCAACCAGTGGCAAATAATCATCAGAATTGTTCTCAGTGAGAGCTCTTCTCCACAATATCCAACTATTACAGCACAACATGTCGAGGAAATGGAAAAATATTCTTAGGTAATTTTTTTTGACCTTATAAGTATCCTATGGTATCCTAACATCGAGTCAAGTAGAGCAACACCTCCCATATAGTTGTTGTATATTTCTATACTCTTTGGACGAGGAATCATAATGTGCTTTTTTTCCTTTCTGCAAAATCTCTGTACTTCGGAAATGGGCCGACTGTCTACGTAAGTTGATACTGTGGTAACTATTTTGTTATCATACCAGGAAACTACCGAAACATCTACGCCATCGACTCGAGCAACTCTCTCCATAATTGTACCTCTACCTTTTTTCTTCATCACAGATTCCTTGAGAAATTTGCAATCTGGCACACGATTTTTGCGGACAGTACCAAGAGGCAAAATGCCCTCTTTGCTGAGATAAACCAGTAATGGAAGGCCGGTGAACCAGTTATCAAAAAAAACCTTGTAATTTTGATTCCTTGGAACTGACTCTGTAAGTTTCACTACCACATTACTACTTGCCCCAAGATCTGGTTGATAAGGCTGCAACTTAGTTGGCCCAGAAAAGAAGTCGAAATCATAACTGAAGCCTGATATTCCGCTTAGTACGAAAACTTTATAGCCCCATTTATGAGGTTTTTTTGGGTTATATTGCTTTAGGGTTGATCGAGCTTTTGTTGGTATAATTTGTACATCAACTGCAAGATGCTCTTCTTTTGGGACAAGTAGGTACCTCTCTCGTACTTTTTCCAAAAAAGGACGAATTTTGAACAGCTTATCGTAACCAGGTTCATCGCGATTTTGTTGCTTCGTATATCATTGAAGTGAACAAAACGTTTTATTTCTTCAAATCTGTTATATGTCATAGCTTCGGTTATTGCAGTAACTCTCAGTGTACTACTCCAATAGCTTCTAGTGGATGGCAGGTGCGCTACAGACATGTATATGCAAATTCCAATGAAAATATTTATCTCTTCTTTAGTTATATTTGGTGGCTTTTCAGGCCTACATTGGATAGCATATAAATTGGTCTGTTCCATTATATGTACCAGTATGTCATCCGTAAAGAAAAACTTGAAAAATTCGAATATACCATCCAAATTCAAAATATCTTTTCCTAAGGAGTGAGATCCCTTGAATAATATGTCTTCGTCAGATACCCTCAACTGTTTATCTTCCCAATCAAAGCAAACCTTGTTTTTTTTCTTTGCCTTGTTTGCTGCAATGAGAGTTGAAAGGGGAACATCGTCTTCCCTATCGGAAAAATCACTTTCTTCAATCACAATATCTTCGACCATCTCTCTATCAAGCTGTTCTTCTTCACTGGTATCTTCCGCCAGAACTTGAGAAAATGTTTTTCGGTAAAAATCATCATCTGACAAATTTTCGTCTTCACTGCCACTCAAGTTCGGAATCCCAACAGTTTTAGCACCATAAAATCGTTTTGCATCCATCTGAAAAAAGGGGCAATAATATAGTCAGCTTTTCTTTTACTGCAAGTTGTTCCGATTATGGCACAAGAAAACGGGGGACGGGAGGAAGAACATTACCCCTATAAATAACGCTACATTTCGAAAAAAAATTCTATATATCACATATTCGACTAGATCGTTCCAAGGCAAGAAGATTGATATTCATATTTTGATGATGCGAAAAAAATTGCCCAATTGGCCAACCTAAAGGATAGTAATTTTAGACATGGGTCGAAAACTTAAATCCGGTATTCGAATACGAATTCTGAATCCTGTATTTTAAATTGTACTCAAGGTTTGCATACAAACAAATGAAGGTATTCGAACGTTTTCAATACCTGGATCCATTTAAATATGAATACTTTTTGATTATTCTAGCTATATGATTACTTTGAACTATAAAAATATAACAAGACTAAATAATAAAACTTAAAACAACATTTTGATACTCAGTGTCACAGTGAGATTAAATAAACATTGTATAATAGAAAACATTCTATATTTTTTTAGAACAATAATGGAATAAAACCTAATAAGAAAATATATGAATCTATTACAATGTATGTACACGTTGAAAAGTCTCACTAACCTTTTCATATATCTGTTACCGGTAATCTGTATAACTCAGGTATTCTATGCAATACCTAGGAAATGCATAGAATACTTGGGTTGCCCTGGCAATGTATGAAATATAATAAATATTATTATCCATTACAAACTTTGCCTAGGTAGGCTATAAGTAACATAATAATTTTATTTGCTTACAAGTACGTACGTAATACGTATAAAAAACTTAAGGAACAAAACAATTCTGTAAAAATATAGGCAGTGTAGGTCTACTGCTTAGTCAAAATCTTAATAGAACAAAAAATATTCTTACATGTACTTAAGAAACAAAACAATCCTCTGAAAATAATTAGTAGGTTTACTGCTTAGTCAAAATTTTAATTAAGTAAGTGAAAAAAATATTTATTTTTACATGAGGAACTATTGTGACATTTTGAAGTGCACAAAATCTTTCTTCTTCTCGTCTTTTACATACATTACCGGCTGCGCATTCGGTATTGTATAGAATACTTAGGAAAAGTATAAAACAAATAATACTTCATACATTACGTACACGTTTTAAGTATTCTATACATTACCTGGGTATTGTATAGAATACCGGATTATACAGATTGCTGGTAACATATCTACTTCATCTGGTATCGCACACAAGCTATCACAGGTATTTAAATTTGTAATAAAATAGAATGGCTATAATGCACAGGCACAAGTGTACACGTTATCTAATCTCGGTCCTTAAGCGGCCTGTCGAATTCAGAAGCATCGCTGTCCGCACAAACAAAATAACTTTGCGTAGCTATTTTGTTTGTGCCATCCACAACCGCCGCGGACGTGTTTTAACACGCTTAAGTTGCGTTGGTAACACAATATTTATAAGCATAACCGAACAGTATTCGAAAACAGGATTCCAAAATAGGATATGGTTACCGGGATTTGAATACAGAGTGGGTATTTGAATATTGGGGTTTTGGACTGCTTCATGATGAATGGCTCACATCACAAGCCTATGTGTTCATGTTAGAGTGAAGCGCATGCAGATACTGTTTTTTTTTTTTTTTGAAGAATTTGTAAGTGTTTTTAATCAATGTCTTCCGAATTTCGTACTGTTCCCTGTCAAGGTCAAATCTAGAATAACGTATGTCTTAAAAGTATAGCACGAGATTTTTTGGCGTTAATTTTAACAAACTTCTAAGAGTACGATATCGTTGGGATTGAGGAGGAATGGTCTTAAATATCGAAAGAGACTTAGGTGCCCAAATACTCTCAAGCACAACTCTTTAGAATACTGAGGCAGGTACACTTTACCAATGGAAAAATCATTATTTAAGATAACGAAAGGATAAGAAAAATTTGCAGATAAAATCCTTGTCTGGTGCACAATTTCTAACAGGGGCGTACCCCAACCTTTTGTAAGAAGAATGAACCTTTGAATAATCAGAGCTATATTGATAACTACTCCTCCAAACTGCTTCAGTTTGTTCACGAACATCATACTAATGGCCATGTTTTGGCCAGACCTAGCACCATGTTAACCCAAGAGGGGTCATCCAATAGACGATTTTTGGGCTTTACTGTCTAGGAAGGTTTATCATGGAAAGCCCAAGATGAAAAACAATTAAGTCCTGGAATTTACGAAGAACTGGGAGAAGTTGATCTGAATTCCGTCCAGAACCTCATGAGAGACGTACGAAGAAAGTTGCGTCTTGTAGAGAAGAATAATGGTCCACTCCACATAATTCGATAGTATAGTTTAGTTAAGTTTTGAATTGGAATTTATGATAACTTGTTAGTGTTTAAATAAATTTCTTCATTAAAAACACCGATAAATATTTTTTGCCTAAACATTCAGGACACTCGTTATGCTTTGTAATTTTATTCCGAAATAATGAGTTCACCCGTACATTTGGCAAATAAATAAAGAGATAAACGTTCCCAAACGCTATATGTATTACACAAGCACAGGCGTTCTCTGGTAGCTGATGCACCCTCGATCGGGTTTGGGAGTGTTTTAATGAACCGCCATTTATCTAAATCGACGATCCGGTTTATCGATGCTGCCGGAGGGTAAGCAACGGCAAACCCCCGGATTCCCCCCAGGGCTAAATTGCTGATGGAGCTAAGGAATGAAAGGGACCCCGGCTATTGGGCAACTCTTTCAATTCATGCTATTCACACCAAGGGAGCCGATGACACTGATAAGACGAGGGACTTTGGACAAACAAAAAAGTCAGATAGATAACCTTTTAAGTAATGTAGGACGATTTTTTTAGTGTATAAACACTCCCGCGATCATCATACTGATGCCACTGTTCCATCTGTGGTGCCATGGTAAGTTAACCCATGTATGCCTAATGTACGGTGAACAGTACAGCCTAAACTTGTTTGTTCCTGTAGATATCGGTACGATTTGGTTAAATTGAATAGCTCGCGGCAACAGTTTGCGGGTGGATCTCGTACAGTACGGAGTAATTTTGCGTATTGTGCAATATTTTGTGAAATCAGTTTTTGTATATTGGAAAATAGAAGATGAATGATTATGGCGTGTGCTTTGCAAAGTAAGTAGGTTTTTATGACATGAAATAAAAAAAACTAGTTTATTTTTATGAAAATATTATTTCCTTAGTTGCGGCTTCTAGATTTTATGATTTTATGATGTGTTTCATTTATGCTTTGCTTTTGAGGTTATGATAAAGTTGGGTGCACTATATTTAGTACATCAGGAAAAAAGTCTACGAATATGTTCATAGTCAAAACAAAAATAAAATGGTTTTAGGTAAATTATTTTTGAATAAGTAATTATGTTGAGAAGGAACATTTGTTTCAGGGGTTTTTCTTTGCATGAGGCGCTAGCAATGATAGAAGATGACGACATTGAAGCTGAGTATATCACTTTGTTACCTCCCACTAATGCATGCGGTAACATAACCGACGAGGATTCTGGAGACGAAGAAAGACTGGATATCAACAACTTGCCAGGAAGCTTAATGCAAGCTGAGGTCGAAGTAAATAAGAATAAAAACGAGGATATGTGGAGTTCAGAAGATGAAATACCACTCAGTGAAATCAGGGGTAATAATCGGAAGGAAGTGAAAAAGAAGAAAACATATAATTAAGTAAAAGAAGATTTGCCAAGAAATGAGTATGCGTTTCCAGTAAACAACGAAAATCTAAATGAACAAGAGCAGTCCCCAACCGAGATATTTTTTAGTTTTTTCGATGACGAAATTTTGAACATAATAGTTGAGGAGACAAATCGGTATGCTCATTAGAAAAACAGGAATATTATGGTTACCAAATCTGAAATCAAATGTTTTCTAAGCATATTATTGTTGAGTGGCTATAGTAGTGTATCTCGCAGAAGGATGTATTGGGAAAAATTCAGTGATTCACACAACTCACCTGTTTCTGAAGCTATTTCTCGCGATAAATTTGAATTTATAATGTCTCAGATTCACTTCCTAAACAATGAAGCTCTGGATGCAAATTATAAATTTGCTAAACTAAGGCGTCTTTTCGATCACCTAAATAAAATTTTTTTGGAATACGCAGTACCAGAAGAGCATCATAGTATTGATGAGGCAATGGTTCCATACAACGGGCGACATGGTTGTAAACAGTATATCCACGGGAAACCAATACGTTATGGGTTCAAATTTTGGGTTGGCGCTACTACTCTTAGTTACATCTTATGATTTGAACCTTATCAGGGTACTTCGACGTATGTGAACGCGGCTTACAAATCTTTAGCTTTTGGCGCATCAGTTGTATTGAGCTATGCTGATAGGCTAAAAAGCAAATGGGCAAATCTTAGGTTTCATTTTGTATTTGATAATTTTTTTCTTCGCCAGCTTTGTTTGAAAGCTTGACTGAAAAAGGCATATGTGGTACAGGAACAATTCGTGAAAATCGGATACCCATATAATCTTTGAAAAATTCAAAACTTATGAAAAAGGAACAACGTGGAGTGTTTGATTATACCAAAGTAAAAGATAAAAACTTAATTTTTGTAAAATGGAATGACAACAGTATTGTAACTTTTGGGTGTACAGCGATTGGAATTGAACCAGTAAATTCAGGAAAGCGGTATTCTCAAAAAGAAAAAAGTCTGTGTATGTAGATCAGCCCCAAGTTGTCAAGCTGTATAATAAATGCATGGGCGGAGTGGATAGGTCAGACCAGAATATAGCTCAATACAGAGTACAAATCCGAGGCAAAAAATGGTATTTCTCGTTGATCTCCCAATGTGTAGATATGGCCCTGACAAACGCCTGGCATATTTATAAAAAGAGGGGAAATAACGTGGATCAATTACAATTTAGACGAAGTGTAGCTACAACCATCTTGACACAAAATAAGAAGACTTATACGTACCAGCAAGGTAAATCAAGAAATTTTGGTGACATAAGGTATGATTGCTTAGATGATTTAGTCATTCCACAAGGCAAACAAACAAGGTGTGCACATTGTCATGAGCGCACAACTACTAGATGTAGAAAATGTTATGTCGGCCTTCACGTGAAATGTTTTGTTCAATATCACACTCTTTAAAATCTGCAATATTGATGTGTTTCAAAATATTTGTGCTATTTTCAATATTTTTTTATTATTATTCTTATAGCTACCTTTATTCCTAATGTACTATGTATAGTAAATCCTAAAAAACTAACTGTTTATGTATTTATAAAAAAATACCTCCAAAGTGTCGTCTTTTAATAACGTTTTTTAAAAAATAATAAAACAAAACTTTTTTGCAACTCTTTAGACATAAATGGGTTAATGGCGTCAAATGCATAGTCGCATACGCAAAAAGAATTAAATGACTGCGAATCCAAGATTGTGCTCTTTTGTTCGACAATCATATTGATCGATTTAAGACAGATTTTTTGTAGCATATGCAACTCAACCTATAGTTATCTAGAATGTAGTTCCTCAAATAACTTTATCCGTATGGTTTCAATTTACAGGGTATCAAAAAAAATGCCTCCTCTCCACTTATTGTTTAAACTACATGCAACATACACGTTTTAAATTTCTGAATTTTATTGAATTGAGCACCATTATTGGTTTTCTTTTTTTCTTTTGCTATTGTTTCTTTTTTTGTCCTGTAAATGCAATTGTAATACTCTGTTGGGCAATGAAATCTATTATTGTTATTAGGGTTACCGATAAAAGTCATCCAACCCTATTTTTTGATACTTCAGAGGCTTATGATCATTTTCAGAAAATTGGAGGGTGACACAAGGGGGGTTGTGGTTTGTACGAGGTGGAGGCTGTTTAATTTCTGGTATATGTCAAAGACTATTTACTATCAAGAATACTACTCGTCCATCAGATGCAATAGTCGTCCAAAGGTATGTATGAATGTGAATCGTAGCTTCAAAATCTGGCTTTACAAACCATAATCGTACTCGCATTAGCCCACAACGGACCTGATACATAAAAGATGCTATATATATATATATATATATAGGTCAAATCAGTGTATCCGAAGACCGATAGCATGAACTAGTTTATCTTAGTCTAAACTAATTTGTCCTAAAATCAGTTAAGTGTGATTGGGCAAAATTGATTTGTCCTAGTCTGCATACCGTCTCTTCACAAAAGTAATGTTCTTATTACTAATTGGAGAAAATACTAAAATACTACTATTACAAACATGTTTAATAACGTTTATTATTTACTTGTTATTACGTGTCAAATTATTGCGGCATTTCGAGTTGCAGAGAACGTTATTTTTCTTGCAAAGGCATCGATTTGACGTACATTTCTTGGTGCAATAGCACTTAAAGAAACTTTGGCCTGTTCCAACTGAATGTTTGAATGCTGCGGTTCTTAACAAAGCTCAATGTTTCCGTCCACTTCTTCCAATAAAAATCTTTGTACGCAAATATATAAAATTCATTTCAGAAATCCGCCAGCAGTTTATACTCGAACAAATTGGTTTTTCCTAATCATAATTAATTTATTTCAGGATGAACTAGTTCATCCTATCGCTTTTAGGATAAACTGATTGGGCCCAGGAAAAACTAGTTTATCCGAAAATCCGGTTTGTCCGGTAACATATATATATATATATATATATAAAGGGTTGTCCAATAGGGACGCAGGAAAGTAAACGTCAATTTGACATAGAAGTCATCTTTGTTTTCTGTCACCGACATGTCATTTTGTTAGTTGAATGTTTACCATTGATCGCTATGGAGTCGTATTCGATTGAAGACCGCATTAAACTTATTCAAGAGCACTACAAAAATGGTGCAAAAATAAAAAACACGTTTCGCGCGCTGCGTGAACATTTCGGTCGCAACAACCGCCCAAACGAAACAACCATCGGTCGTCTGGTGTGTAAATTCGAGGCAACAGGTTCTGTGGCAAATCTGCCAGGCTCTGGCCGGCCACGGAGCGTTCGCACACCGGAAAATATTGCTGTTGTGAAGGAGAGTGTGAGAGACGATCCGAAACAATCAACAACGCGTCGATCCCAAGAATTGGGCATTTCGAGAGCCAGTTTGCTCCGCATTCTCCACAAGGATTTGAATGTACACGCCTACAAGATCCAATTGACGCAAGAGCTGTGTCGGGCCGACCATTTTTCGCGCCGAACGTTCTCAGATTGGCTCCTTGAACACCGCCAAATTGATGCCAATTTTTCATCAAAAATCATGTTCAGCGACGAAGCGCATTTCATTTTGAATGGGACGGTAAACAAGCAAAACTGCCGCATCTGGGCGAACGAAAATCCCCGTGAGTATCAAGAGCAGCCGATGCATCCTCAAAAAGTGACTGTGTGGTGTGCATTGTGGTCAAAAGGCATCATCGGACCTTACTTTTTCAAAAATGCGGCCGGGTACGCCGTTACCGTCAATTCTGAGCGGTATCATGTGATGATAGAGGACTTTTTTTTGCCGCAACTTGAGAGAATGGATATGGACGATGTTTATTTCCAACAAGACGGTGCAACATGCCACACAACCAACGTCAATATCCATCGATTGCAGTCCTTCTTCGGTGATCGCGTGATTTCGCGCAGAGGAGATGTGCCATGGCCACCAAGATCGTGCGATTTGACTCCCTTGGACTTCTTTTTATGGGGATATTTGAAAAGCAAAGTCTACGTCAACAAACCAGCCACCCTCCAAGAACTCAAAAACAACATCATTGCCGAAATAAATGCTATAGAACCGACCATGTTGCAAAATGTCATTGAAAATTTCGACCATCGCGTGGACGTCTGTAAATCCAGTCGTGGTGAACATTTGAGCGATATTATTTTTCATACATAAATAGTATAAATGAACCTTCAAAATAAAGTACCCAACTTGATTTGAATATCAATCTTTCTTGTTTTAATATGCGTTTACTTTCCTGCGTCTGTTTTGGACAACACCATATATGTATATAGGTTTGATTTTCACACATAGTATACAGGGTGGCCCATCCATGTATGGACGGAATAGTACTCATAAACAAATACATTTTGGGAAAATCTATTAATAGCATGTAATACATGACATTTGAGGGCACATTAGTAAAATATTGGCAATTATGCAGGGTGTGCCAATTTTGACCTACATATCAAAGCTGAGATTTCTAATGGGATACCTCAAATTTTATTGAATATTTGGATAAACCAATTCAAAAGAAGATTGATATAATATACTATAGGGTTCTGGTAATTAGCTACTGAGATGTAAGGTGTTTTGTCCAGAAAAACCGTCCGCGTCGGCAACCCCTCAATCCGGCATTTTGAAATTTGGAGTGCTGCACTCCGCGCGTCTGCTCTCGAGGTACAGCGCTCACACGCTTCAGTCTCTCGGCGACCATCGGCGCAGCGGAATGTCTACGCGTTCACAGCTCCGTGCAGAGCTCTATTTGTGCATTAGTGATGTTCGCTATAGGGTTCTCGATTGTCTCTCAGTGGTGCTTTGGTGCCTTAGTGTTGTGACGTGGGTTTCAAGTGTCTCCAAAGTGAAAATTAGGTCTGCTTCCAACGATTCTGAGGGAAACAGTGCAGCAAACCAGGTGAGCCTTGCATACTCATCTACTTGTGTGTTAGGGTTGACATCCTATGTTTCTTAAATAAATTGCGCATATTGCATACACGAGAGATTAGTCATATACTAAGGTATTTCTCAATCGCTAGATCAATATTGGTCAAAGAATCACTTCCACAGCGACTCATTTTCACTACATAAGTTGTCTAGCACTGTTTAAAAATCTTACCTAATTTCAACCAGCTAGCTTGACCAGTTCAAAAATAAATGAAAAGGGCATTGAAGAGGGGCATTGTGTGCTGAATTCGCGACTGCACCTCATCGCACCAAAAATATCAACATTACTATCAAAACTAAGTAAGAAGTAGCGACATCACGATGTCCCCACAAAAATTGTCTGACAACCAGAATTGCTGTAACAGAACGAAATAAAACATTTTTCAATTTAAAGTTGAATTAAAGTTTCGGTGAGAGGTATCACGGTGGCCATTGGAAGTAGGACGAAGTTTGATTCAACCGCATTCCGCACTAGACATGACAGACGAAACCGTGGGACTGCAGCTGAGCAGCTTCCAGGTTCGAGTTAATAAAGTGGTCGCGGTTATTGCGGAAACGGTGCTCAGGAACAGATAGGCGGACAACTGCAAAAGCGGCGTTTATTATGTTTACGCTCGCAGGTGTAAACGGGATTTAATATTCCGCTGCTGGGTGTTGACATAGAAACTTAACTGAGCGAGACAAATTCTGCAGCAAGAAATAACCGGTAGACATAATATGAAACGATTCCTAGAGACTATGCCGCTGACGCTGTTAGTCGATACTTATGGTAGGCGAAATAATAAATTTTTAGATAGTAGCATTATTAAATGAGTCACTAAATGGACAAGTTCGTAGCTAGCCATTCCCTCAGAGGGGATAAGTTGTGACGAACATAATTCTTTATGGCCTGTTGACAGCGTTGGTGGGAAGAGCAGAGTCAACTTACTTGACGCCATTTCTAATCTGATGTTAGCCTTTCTTCTATGCCCAGACAGTAGCATCAAGTGTGAATTGACTAGATAGCAGTACAGAAATCTAAACGTTCCACAACATGAAGGAAAATATCCGCATATATCACAGCACCAGAATGAAGTTGTTAAGTGCCAGCGCGATCCAAAAATAGTTCTGAAGATAGATTTGGAGTATCCTTATTTGCGGAACTTACCACAAGTAGGGCTTACAGAAAAATATTTGAACTAGGAAAAAAGAGTATCTCCATGCTATTCCTAAAATAATATCTCTAGAGAACGAGCCCACGAGGCTTTACAGATGGGATAGAAAGAGTTAAAGATCCCTGTTTAACCAAACCAAGCGGCTCCTGCCACGATCCAATACCTCCAATATCCCGAAGGATCTCCAAGAATAATCAGGAGTTTCTGACATGCCAAGGAACGGTTCTTACTTTTTTGTTTCTTGTCCGTAGCACCGCCGCCACTGGATCGATTTTCAAGAACTACAAAGCATAGAAGACCTGGGCATGATAGTAACCTTGGGCTAATTTGAGACTCAAAATATGACGTGGTTTTCCTTTCAGACAACACGGTGATCTTTATCAAAGTACAATTTATAACTGACAATAACAATATACAGGGTGTCCGCAAAGTTGGGGTTTTCCTTTTCAGTAACAACTACCCTTGAAATAACAAAGGTAATGTGTAGTGAAACGAGGGCGACCAAGTAAGAAAAATAATAAAGGAAAAAGTACTCACTCTCCAGTTGACGAGAAGGGCTAAGTACGTCTCTGCCCGAAAGCATACCGCTCCAACAGAAAATGAAATCAGCTGATGCGCTACCGAGCAGACGCAGGCAAACAAGGAAGGCAAAATGTTTCGTAAAAAGTGTAGGTATTGCATCCCGTCCAATCGATTTGGGAGAATAAATGGTCCAATGAGCATACCGTTCACCATGCCAGCCCAAACATTCACCGAAAATGTTTGTTGAAAATGTGCCCGACGGACAGCGTGCGGATTTTCTACTGACCAAACATGAGTGTTGCGAAAGTTATTCACCCCATTACGCGTGAACGTAGATTCGTCTGTCACCAATATGCACTTCAAAAAGTCCGGATTATTGTCATGTTGATGCAACAACCACTCACAAAACCGCACTCTTGCTGGAAAATCGTCAGGTTGAAGGGCTTGTACACGTTGGACGTGAAACGGATACAGCCCCTCTTCTCGCAGCGTTTGCCACACTTTAGTTTTTGATACTTGCACTTCTCTAGCCACGTCTCTAGTGCTTGTTGAGGCATTCACGTCTACGCGATTATCTCTACACGCGTGACCGTAACCGTCGGTTGAAGGTTGCATACTGACCTGACACACTGACCCCGACCCAGTTCTGTCGTTGGGTTGAGCCAGTGACATTGTACCACTCCGTGATGTCGCGGCTACAGGACGGTATTCAGATATTTTTGATGTTGCAGAGCCCTTTATCTCGGTTCCCTTAAGACATTGGTGTATATGGTACTAAGAAAAATTGCTTATGTTTTCAAGATCTACACGTCGTGTAAAGGAAAACCCCAACTTTGAGCAAAAAGAGAAATTCAAACATACAGTACCGTTCTAAAGTATTTATACACCTGCATATTTCCATATAAAATCATAACAAACAAAAACGCATTTATTCGATTTAAAATCAAAACAAACTGAAACAACTATTCAGTACATATTTATTTTTCTTTATTCATTGAAAACCATCACCATGGAAATCAAGCATCACTAAAAGGTCATTGAAATCAACATATTGATTATTCGGATCTCACCATTTTCCATAATAGGAATTTCTTCGCCTTTAGAGTATTGTTATGTTTTGTTCAGAAGTTCTTAATCAGGATTTGTTTTCCGATTGTTTCTTTTAATTTATGTTATACGTAAACCCATAACACTGATTTACAGTTATCTCGCCTCATTTGGTTTCCGTTTATTTTTTTCTGGGCAAAATAGATAAAACTAAAGATTATTCCGAGGAGTGTTTA